CTCTGACAAAAATGGCTCAATTGTAACCAAAACAAAATTTGACCTAGATCTTCTTTTGATTAATCAGTATACCAAATTTCATTCCAGCATGTGCAACCGCTGCAAAGAAAATTAACAGACACTGCAAATAATTGGAATTTTTCTAAGTCCCGGGGCATAACTCTGTAAAAATGGCTCTATCTTACCCAAAACAGAATTTGACCTTGATATTTTTATGATTAATCTATATATCAAATTTCATTTCAGTATGTGCAACTGCTGCAAAGAAAATTAACAGAAACTTCAAATTGGAATTTTTGTAAGTACAAGGGAATTTTTCTAAGTCTAAAGGGCCTTACTCTGTCAAAAAGGGCTTGATCATACAGAATTTGACCTGAACATTCTTATGATAAATCTTATACCAAATTTCATATCAGTATGTGCAAGGGTTTTGAAGAAAATGAATGAAAATTTGGTGGAGAAGCATGGACAGACAGCAGCAAAGAGAGAAAGGGGGCATAAATATAAATAATTTTTTCTCACCTCTTAATGTTGTTCAGAAAAATCAATAAAAATCTTACCAAAGTTACTTTCTGTATTTGCTACTTATATTGTTTATTAAAATACATGAACAAATTTTGTGACAATTAAATTATTTAATACCTTGAAGATCTCTGTGACATGAAATTGAAGACAGACATCTCCCTTCAGGAAAGTTCTGAAAATAAAGAAATAGAAGCATGGATAAAAAGCATGGCTAGAGAAAGAAAATAAATTGAATAATAATATTTTACAAAATGCTAGTGGTAAATAAATCATTATAATGGCCACTCCTAAAGAAATAAATGCCACCAGAAGCAAGTCTGCTGTACAGCATGAATCATCATACATATACTGTACAACAATAACATCTGGTAGGAAAATTCCATTTAGGTAATGCTATAGTTTACTTGACAAAATGGTCAAACTAAGTATCCAGAACGGTTATGAATTCCCAATCATGACAAGGAACACAAGGCGGGTGTGACTGGTCGGCAGAGGGTGCTCACTTCTCTATGGCACCAGATCCCACAACTGATGTATTGAAGGTCCATGTTTGCTCTGCTCCTATTTTGTAATGTTTTATGGACTTTTAAGCTTGAATACTATTAGTTATCTCCATATGTTTCATGGGACCCTATCACAAACATCAATGCTTATACATAGTGGTAAGAGTTTTAGCATCAGCAAAAATTGCTTATTTTGTCACAGTGAACTTATAAGTATTCTACACAAGCAGGTCTAAAGCACTTATGTATTAGATGTAAATTTACTTAATGTTTGTTGTTACTTAACCAGTTATCACCCCTTACCTCTGTAATAGTCTGTTTCACACTGTATCTCCCAGGGGATGAAGATTGAAGAATCTCGTGATTGGAACAAGATGGAAAGTCATCTTCAGAAAATGAAAAATCATTGTCACCATTAAACTGAATCAACTTATTTGCACTGGGTACTGCAGATAAAAGGTTATCATTTACAAGTATATTATCTAAGCACAGTGGATTTTTAACATTATGACTGGATGAAGGTCCTTCATAATCTCTGGCTTTTCCATCTAGAAAAGGGATGCACCTGGTAATTGTCTCAGTAGGTCTTGCTATTTCTTGACAGAGGGCATCAAGATTTTTCTCACCTTTTTTATTTGTATCTTTTTCTGAGTCTATGAATGATAATATTGAATCTTCATCAGTAGATAAGAAGTCTGACTCAATATCCTGTAGCTGTTGACTTTCTCTAACATCTTTTGTTTTGTTCTTTGATTGACACAAGGAATTGATACCATGCTTTATAAGTGGTTTTGTTGTGGATAGAGAGCTGGAATTTCTGTCTTCAGTGTATACCCTTCCTGGTGAATGCTCCAAGTTAGTTCTACAGGACTGTGCAGGATTCCCCCTGAGGGTCTCTTCTTGTGCTTCTAAAGGCTGGGTTCCTTGTAACTTTGTTGAGCAAGGGGTTGCAGCTGAAAAAGTATTGAAAGAAGGAGGATAAAAATTGTTCTGCATTTGTAACAATTGTCTTTCCTCATATGTATACCACTCTTTTGGGCTATTTGGTGTCCGTTTGTAAGGGTGATTATCATTCTGTGCTGTTGCTGATGCTATTTTACTCATTTTGTCAGAAAATCCACTAGGACAATGAGTTTTGCCACTTTGATTAGAAATTGAATAACTGTTTTGCCAACCAGCTTTGGCTTCTTCTTGTTTATTCTTTGTATGGACTCTTTCTTCATGTGAAGTGGCAACAAACTGAGGTTGATGATACTGCCATGATGAAGTGATACTACATCCTGTGTGATGTGAGTCACGTAAAAACCACTGTGCAGGTGCTTCAGATCTTTGACAAGCCTGACTTGTGTTTATCCTACAAAAGGAATAATCCCTGGGGTGAGAGTAATATCCGCCATGTTCTTGTGATGTTCCTTTGTCTGGTGACATTGCTCTTTTCCTATACTCCTGACTTGTGGTCCAAGTACAGTTGACATCCTGGAAGCTACTCCAATGACTGTCTGTATTCCAACTACATTCAGTGTTTCTCTCCATCCAATAAACACTGGGACTATATGAGAATGGATGAGAGTAGGAGCTTGCAATATTTTGATTATTTTCCTTCACACAATGGTTAGTTCTATATTTCCTCATATTCTCTGTTTTATGGACACTGTTCATGGAAAAGCTCAGTTTGTCTGAAAAATACATTCATTCAAAATGATTTTAAAGCCTATATGCATAAATCATGTGACCATATACATTATTGAATTTAATCAAATGTTTTGTACAGTGAAGCAAATATTTAAGACAGATTCACATCAACCACAACTGATCATGACCTATCATTTTCCAATAATTACATGTGCAAATGTATTCTGTTATGTATATGAAATTATTTTGAGCAACTATATTATATCTATCACTGTATATACACAGGTTCCTCACATCACAAACTTTTGACACAATTTCTCTGTGATTTCATAAAGTAGTAACGACCTTTCAATGGATCAAATTGTGCCATTAAGTTTGAAAACTATAACATTTCATGCCTTAAAGATTACAAGCAAACATGAGAGATAAAATATGTAACAAATTATGTAAATATAAGTAATAAGGTATTTTAAAATATTTATAGGGACATATTTACATTCAGTGTAATTTTCTTTATGAAATCCTTTAGATATCCATGACGTTCAAATCTCTATAACACACACAAAACCTTGTCACCGTGCATTAGAATACACAGTAGGAACTATATACGTTTTCAATACTCTAGGAACACCAAATGTAAATTGTTTTGACACAATTTAATAAAAAAAAAATTAACCCTGTTAAATTAACGTAAAAATACGACAAATGTGCTTTTCAAATTAATTTGTCACTTTTTTTCCTTGCAATGTTCGTTTGCGTTATTTAACTTTGCAATGTCACAAATGGCTCTTACGTCTATAAAGCACACCAGTTTTGAAGAGCGCTAAATTCACATTAAAGATTACCGAAATAAACAATTACGAAGAGGAAAAATTAGAAAATGTAAATAAAAGCATTGAATTCAAATGGGATGTCTTCGGTCCTATAACACACATGGTCGTGCCGACAAATTATCATACTGCACTAACGCATGGTATTCAATTTCTTGGCACTGCCAGGTGTGTTATAGGACCAAAGACATCCCAAAATGTGAATTCAATGCTTAAATAAATACGGGTTAGTACGAGATCAAATTTACCATAAAGTCCATTTGATCTTGTGACCAACCCGTATTCATATCCCGATAAATAAAATTGATACTACGGGTAAAACGGTTCACTGCATTATTGATTAACTGTGGTACTTTTTCTCAGTTTGATACACGTGCAAAATCTTTACTTTTGATTCGTTTCATTTTTGGGGCAGGATTGTTATTCATTTGGATAACATAAATTATTCACTTGGATTTGGCATAAGGTATAAACATGTTACCCAGTATAATTAAGTATAACAAATGTACATTTTTGCACACTGATAGTAGAAAATAATTTTTAACAGTCAAATCAAGCTCACCAGCTTATTTGCATCATTTTGCACATAACTTATGTGACTGAATTTAGTAAAAGAAAACATAAAACAATGATGAATTTGATTTCTTCTATGAAACTGAAATGCATCGAAATTAACTGTACCAAAAAAAATTATACAATACATACATGTATAGAACCGTGAAGGAGGTGTATCAATTCACCCCTAAATCATAGGCGTCGGAACCGGGGGGCTACCTACGTCCCTATTTTTTGCAATATAGATATAATACAGAGATTGAACACTGGGGCATGGGTTTAGCCCCCCCCCCTACTTTTAACAGGCACGTTGAAGTTAAAGTCAAAAAGAGGTAAGTGGAAGTGTATTTGGTACATATATTGAAAGAAGATTGTTCCCGTTGATTGGCCTTGGAGGGGGTGGTGCTTAGTTAAAAGAGCACCTGCCTAGTGATGCAGGGGTCCCGGGTTCGATTCCCGGGTCAGTCGTACATTTTCTTCTTTCACGCACAACATCATGAACATGAGCATGCAGCATGTTCCTGATTGTGATACAACATGATTCATATGAAGAAAAAATATCAGAAAATTCGTTTATGTCATGGTATATTACCTATAAAAACTACCTCTCCTATTCCTATCAAAATTTCTGGTATTACTTGTCTCCAGTAAAGGTGTTTGTTTACAGCGTTGTTTTTCAAAAGACTTGGGGACTTTTTCTATCTCTAAATACCGGGGAGCAGGAAGGAGGAAGATACCTCGGGGCAAATTTATTCGCGTTGCTCAACATTGACTGCTCCTTTTTAAAATCAAAGACCTATCAATATTTGTGTTAGCTTAGAGATTTATGGTTTATTGTAGCATAAATAATTTCAATTTAATTTATTATCAACTAAAACTAAAAATATTTTATACAGTGAGATAACATTATTTAACGTAGTGGTATTTTTAACGTGCGTTTTAACGCACACAGGAAAAGTGTATATTGCTAAGCAACAACGTCTACTTTTTTTTCAACGTCATTGCAACAAAAGGAAAGGATCAAAACAATGGAAGAAGGTAATTTTAATTTGTCGAATTTGAATGTCGTGGCTTGTCAGATAGCTTGTGAAATTGTTGAAGAGCAAGTGACTGTTTCGAAAATCGAGAAGCCCTTACAGCTACAGGATGAAGAAGCAAGATTTTCTTGGGCAGATGACAGTGTCCATGTTGCATGTAATGACTTACAGGAAATCAAATCAGAAGAATTTTCGGACATTTCTAACTCACACTCTGCAATCGAAGAGGACCAAAATTACGATCCATTAATTGATCAAAAACTCAAATCACAGCAGTTAGTCACTCCAACTTTTCAGGAACATCCATCACCTTCAGACGATCTGTCAACTCCCTACAAGGAAATTGACACTTTGCCGGACAGCTATTATAAAAACATGTGTTCAGAGAGGTTTGTCATTAATCCAGATTCCAGTTCTAGCGATGAAGATGGCGAAGGCATGTGCCAAAAGTCAGATGACGTTGAGGCAGATCTAGAAACAACAAACTCAAAAATTACAGAAGAAGCTAGCGATAAGAATGAGCAGAAAAGTGACACAGAGGAAGAACAAAAGGCAGCCCGGAGCTGTGAGTATGGACAGAAAAGTATTGCAGAGGGACAACAAACAACTGCCCAGCAGAGCGATGAAGTTTTAAATGATCTTGGAAGTGCAACCGAAAAACCGGCAGATAACTCCGAAATACATGTACCTTGCGAGACATTCCAACAGAATATATATCCAGAGCTCAGCAGTTCGTGTGAAAATAATCAATCTTTTCAAACAACAGACAATGGACAATGCATTGAATCTGGCGCTACTTGCTATGTTTATCAAACATACCAAGGTTTTACCACCGAGTCATCCGGAAATATGGTCTACTTTCAAATGCCGTGCTGCAATCCACATTTCATAAACGGGAGTTATTACTATATCCCTCAAGAAAATTCGGTGGTAATGAATGAAAATTTAGAGAATCAACAATTTGTTTCTGTGACAGATGAATCCCTTTCAACTAACCAGAACACGACAGAAATTAAAGAGACATTACAAAATTCTGACACCCTCCAGGCAGAAAACCAATCTAACACTCCGTTTGAGGGTGTTCTGAAAGAAGAGACATCGGAGGTCTGTCAAAATGAGGAAATAAACAATGAGGGTGAAAAACAATCAGATAATTGGGACAATTTTACCGAATTATCGGACTGTCCACAGACAGATAGTTATTGTTCCGAGTTTGCTTATCAGTTTCCCTCATACGGAGACCCTGATGGAGGACTGACGCCTTTTAACCCTTACCAGACACTTCAGCAACCTTTGTTTGCCACCGACATTTACCAACCGTTCACGGACCCAGTCCGACTCAACACCAACTTTCAGTACCCAGCTGTATACGTATCTCAGTTTGGGTTGATAACAGTTCTTCTAAAGCACGACGTATCAGTTGAAATGACAATTGATCGAGCAATCCGGTTGGTTAGTCACCAGAAAAATCTCGTTATTGCATCGAGCGCCAAGGGTGATAAAAACTTTATTGTTCATCCAGCAGGGAAAATATCGCATGATGCATCAGAGGTTGAAGCCGATATTTACCTAAAGCGTAGAGTTAAGATGTCAGACGAGGCAATTATCTTTGGCAATGCAAATACAAGCTACAGGTTCAACAACGACAAAATCAAAGAGGAACAGAAACCTAACTTCTCAAAGCTGTCGAAAAATAGCTCCGTTGGCATTTTATTTGCCTCGGACAAATCTCCTGACAAAAACCTCGTCATGTCCTGCATGGACCTAGTGGCAAACGCCCAGTACCACCCAATAAGACACGTATCTGGAGGCTACGTAGTAAAGATAAACCAAATCAAGGTTATACAAAATGGCAACGGAGACGTGAAATTGGTGTGTCCTGACAAGTATATGAGGCTCTCTTCAGTTAGGGAAGATCTTTTGCTGAGGAGCAAACACTACATTGAAATGGGGATCGAACCCGACTGGAGCATCTGGGTCAACCACGGTAAAAACTTTATGAGAGCAAACAGACTGGGTCTGGTGTTGTGCAACAGTTGTATTGAGGCGGGGTTTGATGCCCGAGATTGTGTCAGGGCTTGTCGCATTCCGAGCGGAATTCCGATATTTGTTGGCGAAGAGTCATTTCTACCCAAGCGACGATATGTTCCGAGGGCTCGCCAAAAGTCTTCCAAGGAGTTTGATTGAAAAGCAGTATAGCAAAAATTATGAAACTTTTGACTTTACCAGAAAAATAACCAAGTCCTAAAATGTTATAAACAATAGATAAACATTAATTGAATTAATAAAAGAAATAACATATTTTATTTCTTTTCTTGTTTCTGATGTTTAAATGTTCAAAGAATAACTTGCAATATTACTTTACAATTTTGGGTTTTGATGAAAAAGAGAAATATCAAAGGTGGTGGTGAAATAGACAAAGAAATTTTTATCTAAAAAACAAGATGTGTTTGTGAAACACTGATGGCCCCGTATGGCAACATAGTGGAGTTTAAACTTTTCTTAAATGCAAATTAAATTATGTTGGTACCCAAAGTAAGGTCTTGTCACAAGAAATACAACTGTGAAAAAATATAAGAGCCCTAATTATACCTGTTCAAAAAAGTATTGTCAAGGATAAGTTTTTGAAAAGTGCATCAAACTCCAAGGTCAAATGGTCAAAGTTGTTGGTTTTAAAGTCTTGTAACAGATTACATATAAATGAAAGGTCCTTTACCATTTATCAAAAGTTAGAAATTAATTTTTATTGATGCTTTACAACTTTAGCTTGATATCAAATAAAAGTGTTGTCACAAGGAATAATTTGTAGGTAAACAAGATGAAAAACTGTATTTTAAACTGTCATTTTCAATGAAAAATTAAGAAAACAAGTCATGAATATGGGAGTTTTTTTCGTATTCGGCAAAGGAAATGTATCCAGATTGCCTACAGTCTTTCAGAAAACGGTAATTAGTATGTTCATGGCCTCTTCTTTAAATCAATATCAAATTCAATATGGGTACCCATATGATTTTTTTTATGATTTCATATGATTTTAAATTGAATGACATGAAAATACCCTATTTTCTACATAATTCTGCTTAAGCCGTAAAGTACGGGAAAAAGAATGTTGAAATTGATTAAGACGTCATAATTGATCTAGCACCAAAAAAAAATAGTCTCAAGTTATTTACTAGATCTTGATCTTAAAGAAAGGTCTTGTAACAAGAATTACATATTCAAAGTATGAAAGCCATGTCCTTTACCATTCAAAAGTTATGACCAAGGTTAAAGTTTTTAGAAATAGGTCGAAATCCAAGATCAACGTCAAAGGGTCAAGATTCTTGATATCAACTGAAAAGTCTTGTCACAAGGAATAAGTATGTGATTATTGTGAAGTATGAAAGACCTAACCCTTCAAAATATATGGTCAAGGTTTGTTTTTTTAAAAGAAGGTCAAACTTTAAGGTCAAGGTTAAAGTTCTTGGTATCCAGTGAAAGCTCTTCTCACAAGGATTACATATGTCACTATGTGAAGTATGAAAGCCCTAGCCCTTGTTCAAAAGTTATGGCCACAGTTAAAGTTTTTTCGTAAGTTCGGAAATCTCCAAGGTCAAAAGGTCAAAGTTGTTGGTATCCAATGAAAGGTCTTACCACAAAGAATCGATATTTAAAATATGAAATTCCTAGTACCTACTGCTTAAAAGTTATGACCAAAGTAAAAGTTTGGGTTTTTTGTGTACAAGTGGGTCAAACTCCAAGGTCAAGGTCAAAGGGTCAAAGTTCTTGATATCATGATATCAAATGAAAGGTCTTGTCACACGGATTAAATATGTGAAGGTTTTTAAAAGTAGATCAAACTCCAAGGTCAAGGTCAAAGTTCTTGATATCCAATGGAAGGATAAAGTTCTTGATATCCAATGGGAGGATTTCTCACAAGGATTACATATGTGAAGTATGAAAGCCGTAACTCTTATCGTTCAAAAGTTACGGCCAAGGTTAAAGTTCTGTGATACGAAAATCTCCAAGGTCAAAAGGTCAAAGTTGTTGGCATCCAATAAAAGATCTTGTCACAAGGAATACATATATGAAGTATGAAGGCCCTAGCATCTACTGTTCATAAATTATTGCTAAATTAAAGGTAATGAAATTTTCTAATTAAGAATGCAGTATAAGTTAGGTAACTTATATTCAATTTGATTGTTGGAAATATTAAAAATATCTAAAACCACGTATGATCTTGAACAAACTCAGCAATTGAAAGGGATTTATGGGTATAAGTTGGATTACCACTTGTAGAATTAAATTCCATTCTAAAATACAATTGAAATAAGGAGCCTTACAAACAAAAATAATTGCGCTACCCGCTTTATCAGTTTATTCTAATCGTGTAATCTAAATTGTTCTTTTCTAACTTCCAAATTATTGAAAACTGAGAAGGTTAGACTATTTTCATTTTGCTCTTTAATGTAAGATTTTAATATTCATCTTTCAATCCATTCTGACAGTGTCAATGTCTTCATTTTTATGTTTGGTCCATCGTCTGGCGTATTCTTCGACTGAATTCAAAACATGTTTGGAAATTTGACTCAATTTCAAAAATTGGGGTTCCCTTAATTTTGACCCATTTAAATAAGTGATTAAAGGTCCTCATTGTTATCTTTGTTTACGTCACCTGTAATGACGTGTCCAGCAAGACTATTATATAGTTGAAGGAAGAAGAACACGAATGCTTTGGAGGATTATGTTCCATGTCTTGGCACTGATCGAAGAGTTTATTTTGTAATTAAGATGTAGTCGATGTTTATTTGGAAGAAATACATGTATAGGATGTGGACTTAAACTTGAAATATTATACATAAATTTATTACATGATAGTGAGGGAAATATGAATATATCTTCATGTTTCCCGAACATTCATGCAATGAATTGTTTATTGTACCGAAACAAGCAAAAACTTTGAAATAAACATAAACTTCAAATTTAGCACCGCTCTCAAATTCACTTTCATTTTTAACGTAAAGTTACTGAAACCCTTTGACAAGTAACGTTACATAACTAATCATCAATTTTGTGACATAAACCAGGCTATTGTGACGTCTACTACTCTCGGGAGTTTTCTTTCAACGAACGATAACCGATTGCGGAAAAATGCACCAAGTTTCCGAAGAGGTGGAATATGATGAAAAGCATGCCGACGACCTACCCTGGTCCCCTGTCTCATCCTTGCAAAGGCAGGAGAGCCAGGTGGATAACATTCTTTGTTATGCCCTTGTAAATAGCTTTCTATATATTTATTACTAATAAAAAGTCCAACAAAAGAAATGTTTAGTACATCGGTCTAACAATTTCACTGTTGACTGGCCTGCCGGTCCAACATAAAAATTGTTAGACCGCAACGTCACTGCTACGTCACAAGTAATTAATCATCGTTCTATATCGGCGACACGGAAATAGCCGAAGTTAAGAGCTGTAAGAGTTGTTGCTACTAGCAAGGAAGAAGGGAAGAGTATATGTTTTGTGATAAATAATTTTTGTGATATAATAAAAATATAATTAATTTTGTTCTTTCTCAGCTATTGTTTTATATTTACTGATTAAGCCATAATTTTCCATATAAAGTAATTGATAATATAGTGTGTATTGATTAAATCTTAAGTGAGCACTGAAGGGTATAACAAAACAGTTATAGATTGGGATTCGGGCAACATATGATTTGTTGGACCTGAAAGGTAAAAATGTTGTTCTTGGCCTGCGGCCTCGGGCAACATTTTCACCTTCATGTCCAACATATCATATGTTGCCCTCATACCCAGTCAATAACTGTATAATGCTTTCCTTTGATTGGTCAGAACAATGCGCGCTAAATCGTGGGATTTTGAGCCGTTCCCGCTAACCACGGAAATAATCGACGTAACAATGACACATTACGTCGACGGTGTAAAAAAAATACGACGTCACAATGAACGTCTTCACCAGAAGCGCAGCTAAATTCGACGTCACAATGGGCTAAGATTCAGGGCAGATTTCGCCCTAAATCCAATGTACTCCACCTTGCTCTAGTGACGCGGAGAATACGAAGCATAACGGGACAGGGAACCAGGCTAGCCGACGACCGTGAAATGTGAAATTTTATGGCCCGATCACGTGACAATCTAGATCCAATCAGATAATGTGTTGTGTAGAATAATTATAATGAGTTATAATAACATGGAATATGACCTTTAAGTGACGAAGAATATTACTTATGATATATTTACAGCGTCGATTCCGTCGGTGACAAATGTGTACACACGTATCAATATAAGATGTCTCAATCGCGACAAATAAATTCGATTTTACTTTGTAATATACGGCAAAAATGTCAATATGAAAAGCATATTTTTTATTATTGGGTCAGGGATTACCATTTATCTATAAAGAAGACCAACGGAGTAACATTATCAAAGCGAATTCATTATTTATTGATGACAAAATAATGCCATTGCCAGAAATAGACAATTTTGGTGTTGACAATCTTGTTTTAATGAAGAAAAGGTTATCTCATGAGAAAAAAAATTGTGAGTTTTATCATGCTGTAAATTTTACATTTATTTCAAGTTAGTAATGCTTGGGAAATTCGATTGCTAAGAAATTTAACCTCTGAAAGGTTATATTTCAATTAAGTGCATTTATTCTTTAAAAAAAACAGAGGGTATTTAAGGTGAACAAGAACCAAACGTGTTAGAAATTTTTGAGAAAGAGTGCAAGTTGGTACATATAAATGAAAATTTTATATTTTGTAATAGGTAGATGAACTCAAAATATTCAAATCAAAATTTTGACTTTATTCTGTTGTCAGTTTATGCATGCTTTAACTCACTCAGAAATTCAAGCATCTTTGTAATAAAATGATGATTCTTATGCCTCTTCTCCGTCACTTAAAAAAATGACCAGCGAATGACAGTTTTGGGGGCTAGAATGAGACTTTTAGGACTACTGTGTGAAATCCTCATCTTTTGTTTTTTCCTCATCAAGCTGTTATTTGTATGTCCGTCGGAAGAAGTTAATATAATTTTATCCAGTCGGCATTATACATAGTAATAGACAGTCGGACAACAATTTAGATGTTTGGTTGACAGACCAAATGGACCTCCTGTTGGTATCGACTGAGTTCAGATGACAGTTTATAGATTTTTATAGCTGTGTATCGTTTCTACAACGAAAAATTGATTATGATAAATTAG